GGTTCTTGCTCATACAGGTTACCTGCCCTAGGTTTTTTTCAGCGGATCAAAATCTTCACAGGTAGCACTGTCAAAAGTTGTACTATCTTTTTGCTCAGGATTTCCAAGCAGGCTTCTAATTCGAGTATATACTTTTCAGATTTATTTATATGACATTACATACTTCCAAAGTTAGTCTTGGTATAACCAGAATTACAAGATCTACAAACCCTAGATTATGGATAAGTTTGCTAAAAAAGGTTTATTTTTTCAAAATCTGTTGCTAATAGAAATTGAATATTGGACCTACTGCTTAGAAAATGATAACCCACCACTACACTAGGATCGCCATCCTCTTATTAATAAATTTTAATATTATACAAAATACAATTATTAATAAAAAAATTTACTTTTATATATATTTATATTTTACAAATTATTATTATTTTTTTTTGATATTAAAGTGACTTCTTTGGTCTTTTGACTTTTATTAATAACTTATTAGTAATATGATTTAATGAACTAATACAAAAGAGAGTACAATTGGCTACTTATATAACTTTTCTATATTACCTATTTAAGGAGTCTGTCTAAAAGTTTCTTATCAATTGTTGTACCTAACACTTTTGCTTGAATGTTTAATTTTAAATTTTCTGAACCTGTAATCTATATTAACTTGCTGGATTATATCTAAATGACCAGATCATCATCTTAACCTTATAACTATTTTATCCTCAAGATAAACTCTTTAGAGCCTTCTGTACCTATTTTTATAGCTAATCTAAGTATTACTATAGCAGAACCAACATTTGTAGTCAGGGCTTAATTATTAAACTACTATGTTTTTGTAGAGTTTACTTAGATCCTAGCATCTACTTTACAGTATAACCTTAGTATTTTAGTATATTCTTGAATTTCATCAGACTCCCAATTCAGACAGTCCATATAGAACTATGTCTAGTCTATTAGTATATTAAATTAGCCCAATATCTTTTTCTTTAGTTCATTTTGATAGCCTAATTGGTGGTATTTTTGAGACTTTTAATTTAAAGATTCTTGCTTATTTGATTATTAAGACCTTGGTATTTATTTTTCTAGGTTAGTCTTTACAGTAGCATCATCAAAGATCTGGCTACCTCTCTATAGAGATCTTCTTAAATAAACTTCTTGTTACTCAATTTTAATAAATTTACATAGCCACAAAGACTTATCTAATGTTTATACTGCTTAGTTGTCAGTTTGCATTTTTTTGTATAACTTCAACATTGCACAGATGCTTCATAATTTGTCAGTTATACTGATATGATCACCATTACAGGTATCCTAACCTAATCATTAGTAACAGTTACTATAATACAAATATTATATAGGTGATTATCTAAATTTTTGCTGTCAATAGGATTTGAACATTCAATTTACCACTTAGGAGTTAACAATCTGATCACTTTACTAGGTTACTATATTCTTTATTTTACAAATTATATATTTTGATCTTTGCTAAAAATAAATAAAAATAATATATTACTTATTTTGTAATATATGTATAATTATCTTTATATTAATAATAATAATTATTTTTAAAATTTTAATATTGAAAAAAATAGTATTTATGACTACAATAAAAAATTAAGAATTTATTTCAAATTGTATAAAATAATATGATTTAATTTTTTTTTATTTTATTATTTATAATTATTATTATATATATAGTATGCTCTATATATACATAATTGAAATTTTTTTAATAATATTAATATATTATATAAACAAAAAGTTTGTAAATTATATACACATTTTTAGCTAAAAATATATAAAATTTTTTTTAAAAAAATACTTTAAACTTATAAATATATAGATTTTACATATTAATATCATCTAATAAAAATTAATAAGATTATTAATTTTTAATAAATAAAATATATTAAACAAATATTATTATTATTTTTATAATATTTTTTTAAAAAATTTTAAGCTTATTAATCTTATATAAAAACATATTAGTTTTTTTTTAATGTTAAGATGATCTCTTATTTTTTATTAATAACTTTTTTGATAATATAATTTAATGAACCACTACAAAAGAGCATACAATTGGCTATATATATAAGTTTCTATATTACTTATTTAAGAAGTTTATTTAAAGATCTCTATTAATTGTTATGTTTAATATTTCTGCTTGAGTGTTCTAGTTTAAACCCTCTAAACCTGCAATTTGTATTAATATCACTAGGTTATACCAGATGCTTAGATTATTGTCTCAATCTTAGAACTATTTTATCTTCAAGATAAACTTTCTAAAACCTTCTATATCTATTTTTACAATTAATCCAGTATCATTATAGTAGAATCAACACTTGTGATTAGAGTTATATCATTTAATCACTATGTCTTTGTAGAGTTCACTTAAATTTCAATATCTACTTTACAGCATAACTCTAGTACTTTAGTATACCTTTGCCTTTTTATTAGACTCTCAATTCAGATAATTTATTTAAGACTATAATCAGTTTATTAATATATTAGATCAACCTAATATCTTTTTTCTCTAGTTTATTCTGATAACCTAGTTGGTAGTATCTTTAAGACTCTTAATCCAAAGATTTTTGCCTATTTAGATACTATGATCTTGGTATCTATTTTCTTGAACTAATTCTAACAATAGGACTATTGAAGAACTAGCTACCTTTCTACTTAGATCTTCTTAAATAGACTGCTTGTTATCTACTTTCAATAAATTTATATAATTACAAGAACTTATCTAGTGTTTATATTACTTAATTGTTAGTTTGCATTTTTCTATATAATGTTATACTTATACAAATGCTTATGATCTGCCAGTTGTGCTGATGCAAGTACTCTTACAGATATTCTAACTTAATTATTAGTAACAGTTGCTATAAAATGAATATTACATAAATAATTATCTAAATTTTTGTATTAATGGGATTTGAACACCCAACTTACCACTTGGAAGGTTGACAACCAAATCACTTTACTTGTTACTATACCTCTGAAATATTAGCTTTAGTAAATCTATTTACTAAACTAAACTTAATAAGCTAATAATTATTTAAATTAATGCTAACTTTATTAAGAGTTATTTAACAAATTAATTTTATTTTTTCAATTTTAGTAATATTACTTTTTTAAATTTTAGATAATCATTTATTATAAATTTTCTTATATAATTTATAATATATTAACAAAATTTACAAATTAATTTTTAATTATTAACATAAAATTTTTTTATATTTAAAATTTTAAACTTTATATTTAGTAATATGAAAATTTATAAAAATAAAAAAAAATAATTCTATTATTTATTTTTTATTAACTTTTATAATATTTTATTTATTTTATAATATAAATATTAAAAAGTTATTAAATATTTTGCTTAATAATGATATATACATATTAGTATATATTTTTTAAACTTATTTATATATTTATTTCTTTTTAGATAGCTAATATTAATTACTATAAATTCTTAAAATAACAGATATAAACATTATTTCAAAAATTATAACTTTTAAAAACTATAAAAGTAATTTTGAAATAACATTTATATATGTTTTAAAATAACATTATATTATATATACATATAGAATAGGCATATATACTTAAAATAATATACAAAATACTTATTATTTTAAGACATTATAATACTTTCTTATTTTTGATTAATTGTTATATATATATTTTTTTCTAAATTTATACATTCTTAATTATATGATATTAGTTCTAATATACAAATTATGCAATTGTATCTGCTATTTAATAAATGTCAAGTTTATATATATAATATGCAATTTTTAAAAAATTTTTAAATTCATTAAATTAGAGTTAATATTTATAATAAGGTTAAGTATTTGTAAAATCACTTAAGAGTTATTTTTGTTAAAGCCAAAAGCTGGTTTCTTATATAAGTTTTTAAGAAATAAAAGATTCTTGAAAAATAATCAATTTGTTTTGATCTTTTTGATCATGTAACATTACATTAAATGAGACTTGCTATTGGATGATAATCATATAAAATGAAGATACTAGAATAATTTAGTCATTAACAGTTCTTAAATTGTCACACATACAATGCTTTAAATCAGTATTAATAACTATTATTTAAATTTAAATTTTATAAGACAATATTAAGAGAATAGGTAGGTACATATAAAAGGCAGAAGATATTGTAAACATAAAACAGTAAGTCAGTTGTTCCACACTCAGATCTCTCATGCAACCACTTAGGAGGGTTTGTCTCGGGTCAAAAGAAGAGTGTTAGATTTGGTGAGTGGTTATTATAATATTAATCGAATTCTATGACAAAGGAGGTTCAGGTCGTTATTGAACAAATGTAATAGCACACTTTTATGTAATTACAAGTTAGGGACAGATTATGTAGCTGCGATTATGTTTAATAAAGATATCTGTTTTATTCACAAGTAGTTTATTATGAGCGATTATGAAATATATGTATTAGGTATGAGTTGCAAAGAGGGGGTTATCTTTCCTCAAAGGGTCTTTTGGCCTTTATTTATAATTACAAGACTATTTACATCCTGCGATTGATACGACTGATATCACTGATGCTACCGACATGTCGTATCCTACTGATATCCCCCAAAATATCCTTCTGATCGATCGCTGATATCCGTCACATTCGTCGAATGCGTCACATGCGACGAATGCGACGGATGCGATCGACTTCTTCCCTAATTAAGTAATGGACCCTAAACGGTCAGGGTCCATTCGGGTCACACAACATATGCCATATATTGCTTTATTAACCAAGTTTCTCAATCTGTATCAATTTAACTGCTATTTACTATATTATATGATTCACGACTGAACATTAAATTTGTTTCAGAAAATGCAATTTGTATCCTTTTTTGCTTCCTTTTATATTTTTTATATTTCCTTTTATACTTGAACAACCTTATATGTATATAACTTATCTTGTCAACTACGAGGCCAAATTGTACGTATTGTTTACCCACCCAAGATATAAGGTAAAATTAGTTGCGTCAATAATCGGTTAGATCTCGATTTTGTCTGTAACTCAAGTGATAATAATGAGCAATGTATAGAGCGGGTATGATCGGAGGAAATGGAGCAGTCTGATTGATGAATATATTTCTATATTTTGAGTTAGTAGAATATTGTTATAACAATCTAAAGCACACAAATAATGATAATAAAGACAATTTATAACATACCTCGCATATAGATCCCAAAAAAAAGATGACATAGTGCTATAGCCGTAATTTATTCCTCCATCTATAGATGACAAAGTCAACCCCCAACTAGGATTTCCTTTAAAAAAAGCAATTTGTTTGAAAATTGTTTCGTTCGCATTGTTACATTGTTTCCAAATATAACCATTAAACCACCAAGTCCAAGAAATTCGGTATTTACAAGATTCTAATAATTCTAAATCAGCGTCATCAGGCGCAGCAAATACAATTTCTATTTCATTTGTAGAATAGATACGGATTCTAGAGTTTACAGTTGAAACGGGGAATACAGTACCGTTTGGATAATGTCTAAACTCTATAACGTTGAAATTTCCATATTTCAAATAAGGAACTATGATCTCGGCATATTTTATGAACTTGGGTTGATTGTCGTCTTTAATCGAACTGAATGAATTACTTTCACTATTAAATTCAGTTGGATAACCTTCAATAATGTAATTACATTTCCAGTGACTTTTACATCTGAATCTATATTCATAAGGAATTCTTGATACGTCAGTCGGTAATTTCGGAAATTTCGCATATGGCGAAATAGCAAAGACAATTATTGGTATAATTAATAATAATATCATAGTTATTGCAAACAAAACCCAGAATTGTTCTTTGCACAAACGGCAGCATCGTTTGCACAGACGCCAGCATAGTTCTTTGCAATTAACTGGATTTTGAAGATTTTGAAGATATTCCCGCGCTTCTAATAATGGTACCCTTTCTGTATTTATGTTATTACTCATTTTTTGTAGGAAGAAATCTTGTATAAAAAAATCGAGACTTATTTATAGCTATGTAGGCAACATGTTGCATGCGATTTCTTTGTGTAATTTGGCGTAATCAAAGCTTTTTTTTTTTTACAACGAAATAAAAGGAATAATAAAAAAACAAATCTCTTATATAAATGATTCGGATAATTAATAAATAATTTCGCTAATATCGTTCATACTACATATATTTAATATTTATTTCCCTTTAACAATAATATTTTTGGACTAATGTCGAGTTCGTTTCTTAAGAAATAAAAATAATAAGATTGACTGTGACGAAAGCATGAGGGTAGAGGATCACACAAAAGTCGTTAAATCGAATGATCTTTGTATGAGGCCATAGTTTGTGATTTCCACATGAACATGAGGTCATTGACTTCGTGAATATGAATAAAAATAAGCCACAAAGTCGAAGAAGGAAAGTTAGTGATTGCTGAAACCAAATTTCTGACCAATAGAAAGGGCCTTCTTTTCGGGTACCCTTATGTCCAGAAAATCCCGGGCTGAAGATCACTTCCGACCCTATACGGATCCAATAAAATCACAGGATCTTGTGTAACAAAACAAACGCGAAAAACATAAGAAATTGTAAAAAAACGTAAATAACACAAAAATTTACTATGATAACTAACTTCCGACCTCTAAGTAAAAGTTTTCAGAATGAAATTTTACTTATAGGACACAATTGTTAATGTTAGATATATAGTGAATTTTTGAGATATTACGACCCATATTCTTTTGGCCGGCAGCTCGGAATTTTCTGGACATAAGGATATCCTGTGAATAGTGATGTGCCATTTATATGATACCTGAAAAATTTTAGCGTACAGTACATATAGTTCTTTTCCTGCATCTGATTGGCTGGAAAAAGTGATCGGCAAAAATTTAGCGTACAGTACGTATAGTACTATACGCAGCACATGTGAATGATCTTTGCGGGATATGAATTAATCGTACATGATACGTAGGATTTTAAAACGCACTAGAAAATTTTGAATTTCAGAGACAGGTTTTCTCTCGTAATTCTTTTCACATCCTCATCTTTTTAATATTGGCAGGGTTACATCGACCCCACAAAAGACTAGCTCTAAATGGTTTCAGGCCGGATCCGTAACATGATATAAAATCGGTTTGATATACTTATTTATTTCTGTCACGGATGACGCTGAAATTTGGATGGCTTTTTTTGGGGTTACGTTAAGATTAGGATTATAATTATTAATAAAAGCGTATGACTGGATTTTGGTAGGGCTTGTTTTTCAAATCGAAACCCTAAACTTCAGCATCACCTGATTTAACATCATCCGATTTCAGCATCATCCGATTTCAGTATCATCCAATTTCATCAACTGACATTTTGTACTAACGAAGTATTTTTATAGAGTTTTTACATTCTTTTACAATATAATCAAGCCACCTAACATTTTGTTACAAATTTTTTGAAGGGGAATGATTTTTGTACGTACTGTGAGTAATGAGAAAACTGCGACTCGGTCGCTCCACAATCCAGGATCTCGCGTAACCAAGGATAGGTACAAAGAAGGGTGCTATATTTAGCCGGTGGGTGATTAAGGTGTTGGTTACTTGGGTCAGCAAAGTTAGGTATGTTAAGTCACGTGATCAAGAACTTAGCGAACGACAATTTTTATGGCGTTTACAGGGTTTAATTGTAATAGTGATACATAGTGAAATATTATGGACGATTTATAAAATTGGGACTTATTATTTTATACAGCAAACGATACTTAATTCTCTCAAAACCATTTCGGCCTTTATTTATAATTTTCTCCCTTCACAAATACCTTATAATATTTAATATTCAATAAAACTATATGCTCCTATTTAAGAATATTTAATTTCTGTTATGAAAACCCCTTGGCATCCCGTATGCCTTTCCGCATTCAAAATACCTTCCTCGATCCATGGCTCAGTCATAGGAAGACATTCGCATGATTGGTTAATTTTTGTAGATCTACTCGTGATTTCCAATAATAATTAGCCAATCATATTACATAATTTAATCAAACGAAATATAGACAAAACTTTATACTACATACTAGCGGAACTTTTATAATATTTTTTATTGATTATATTTAATTACATAATCGAATAGAAATCATATTCTAATTCTTACTGCCTTTGCTAAAGACGCCACTACCTTTAAATGTATTATCAATTAGGCAATGTCTTACTTAATAATTTTTCTATGTAGTTGTTACTCGCATTTGTACACTCTCCTGACATAAATCAGATTTTTCAAAATTGATGATGATTATCCGTATGACTCATTGTTGACAAAAAATTTTTTTTTCTTAAAAATTACTATACTTGTCCTTTAAAAATTTTTTTTACAGTTTTATTTGAACCCATTAGTGTATTCATTTTTTTTTTCTTGATTTTTTTTTTTACTATAAAATAAAGGAAACAGCTTATCAATGAAAAATGTAACCAAATTATTAGTGTTTGAAAAACTGGTGTGAAGCAAATAAGAATCACAGAAACCTTAAAACTTTTCAGAAGCACTGTCAATGATGTAATAATATATTACAGAAAGGCTAAAAAAGTTATACTTTTACCTCATCTTGGATGATCTTCTAAAGTAACTAAACATAGTGTTCGACATCTAACCTGCATTTTAAAAAAGAACAAAAAGATTACAGTAAAGATTTTAATAAATAAATTCATTGAGTAACTTTTGTAAAAGTATTTATATGAACTATACAATAGTACCTAAATAATGAAGGGTTTTATAGTCAGGTTGGTTTAAGAAAATTATTTATAGATGAAGAATCTTGTATGACTTATATAATTGAGCAGATGCAAAAGTAGGTTGGAATAAAAGGTAGAAAAACATTATTTAGAATAATGAATTGAGATTTGATGTATTTGAAAAAGATGATTATAAGTAGGATTGGAGGAAACCAAAAGAAAAATATAATGTTAAATGTTTAGTTCCAACATTTAGATCAGGAAGAGTAGGCATAATGGTTTGAAGATGTTTTAGCATATATGATTTTGGACCTTTAGTTCAGGTTCATAACAGGATGAGTTTGTAAAAATATGTAAAAATTCTTGAAACTTGTTAAGTATTATATTTAAACAATTTAATAAATGTAGTTGATCAAAAAAATTATATGTTTCAAGACAACAATATTAAAATTCATACTTTCAAATTTTTTCAGAAATAGTTTAACAAAAATCATATTATATAACTTCTATAGCTCTCATATAGTTCTAACTTTAATCCTATTAAACATTTGTAAGATAAATTAGAGCATTGTATATGTAAGCACATTCTTTTACCAAGCAATGAATCAGAACTCTTCAATTTGCTTCAGAAAGAATAGTTTAAAATTGATGACTCAATTTTAAAAAATCTTGTTGAAAGTATGCATCAATGTATTTTTCTTGTAATTGCTGCTAATGAGTATTCTATACAGTATTAAATTATATAAATAAAATTTATATATATAGTTGCTAAATAAAAAATTTTGATTCAAATTAATATGTAGTTTATTCAGTAATATACAGCATACTCTTCCTGATGATCACTTAAACCAAACTAGCACCAAAACAGTTTGAAGAGTTATGCTTTTAAGATGATGATAT